TTCATCTGCCTATTAATTTGTATCCTTTAACATCCTTTATAACAAACCAGTAATCAAGTTCGTAAAGTGTTTCTCTGAGCTCTGTGAGCTGTTCTAGCGAATTAATCAAACCGAAGGAAGGGATTGTTGGAACCTCTCATCTATAGCCCATAGGTGAGAAGCCCAGGTGATAACCAAGACTTGTGACTGGCCTCTGAAGGGAGGGGGCAGGGGGGTTCTTGTGGGACTGTGTTGTTATCCTGTAAGATCTGGTATTATCTCCAGGGAGATAGTGTCAGAATGAGGTTGAATTTTAGGACACCCTACTGGTGTTGGGGAATTGCTTGGTGGTGTGGGAGATGACTCCACCACACATACATAAAGTAGAATGGGTGACCAGAATTGTTCACCCATAAAATAAACCTGGGAAGGTTATGAGTGGAATAGGTCATCGAAGAAAAAATCAAGATTATGTTGGTAAGTTGAAAACTGGACCAAGATGTACAGGCATAAGCATGAGCCCTCTGTATGTATGAGATTAACATTTCAATTAGACCACAGGCGCCTGCGATTTTGACAGTAATGATGGTGAAAAAGACTTGGGAGTCTTGCTCCTGTCCCCATCATTCAACCAAAACTGTTACAGAAATTCCAGTGACTGTTTGGTGGTAAATGGTACTTTCTGCTTGTCCTCATCCTCGTTGCTCCTTCTATAGTATTTGGCACTGTTTGACACTGTTAACTTTGTGCCCTCCATGGAAACTTTTTCGAATTCAGTAATCCCACTTTGGCATTGTTCCCCTGTTTTTCTGATCGTTCCTTTGTAGTCCTTTTTTACCCTCCCTTTAAAGGTTTTCCTTTACCTTTATATTTACAGTCAATGTTCCTTAAATTCTAATCTTAGAGTATTTGTAATCTGTTTCTCTCCCTAGTCATTTGTTCACCCTTCATTCAAAATATATTGCCAAAGACCTACTATGTGCCAAGGACTATTCCAGGAGTTGGTAATACAGGAGAGAACAAAACAAAAATTTCTGCCCTTAAGAGGCTTATATTCTTGAGGGGGTGGAGAGAGACAATAAAGAAGTAAATAGAGAGATCAGTGTTGGGTCATGGTTAAAGCAAGGCTGAAAATCAAACCCAGGAAAGGGGACTGGGCATTTATAGGCTATACTTTTAGACAAGAAAGTCAAGGAGGATCCCCCGAGAAGGTGGCATTTGGGCAGAGCTGGACACCTTATACTACCAAGGATTCCTCTGCACCAGACTCCCAGATCCTTGTCTCCAGGTAGCTCCTCTCCTCCGGAGCCACGTTCCTGAATGCCTCCTGGACAGCTCCTCTGGGATGTCCTAGGGCACCAGGAGCCACACATGCTCATTTCTTCTACCAAACTGCTGCCTCCTCTTTGGTTCCCCATTTCAGTTCATAGCATGACCGTCTCCTTGCTCAACCAAGCTAAAAACTCCAAACTCCCCTTCACATCCTTCTCCCTCTTCACTTCTATGCATAGATAGGTATTCAACCAGATATCATCCAGGTCCTTACTTCCCTCCATGCCATAATGTAGGCCCTCAGTGTCTCTTGCTTATACTATTTCAGGAGACACCTAATAGCTTGTCAGCCTCTAGTCTGGCCCTTCCCCACTCTCTCTGACATTACCAACAGAGTGACCTTTCTAAAAGCACAGATCAGATCTGCTTTTAAGCCTTCCATCTGCCTCCCAGATTAGCAAGGTGTTCAGTCTACGTGGTTTCCAGCCTACTGATTCAGCCATCTCCCTTCATTTCCCTCCTACCACCCACCAGCCTCATCATATACCCTATGCTCTGGACGCTCTGTCAGAGAGTTATCTCCCCAACACTTTGATGATACCCTTTTTGTATTATATTTTTTCATTACCATTTAGTCCCCTTATACCCCCCATGTGCGCGCACACACAATTACCATACTGTTGCTTTTCATATCTTCTTTTTCATTTTTTTCTGGAACACTTTTTCCCTTCTCTATATATTTCTTCTTTACCCTACCCTACTCTTATCCACTCTGTTTTTTTCCTGCCCTTCTGTGCCCTTCCCTACTCTTCCCTTCCCTACCCTTCCCTTCCCTACCCTTCCTTACCTTTTCCTTCCCTACCTTTTCCTACCTAGCAGGTAGGGTCACCCTGGTTTAGGAGGGTCTCCTGAGTCTGTGTGTTACTGATTCTTGTACATGTGTATGTTTATTGTGGATATTAGTACTTAGAAGTTTATTTTGTGCATGTGTACTGAACCGGCTAGGATTCTACAGAAAGCATGAAAATATATAAGTTGAGCCACATGAAACTACAATTCTTCTTAGCATTAGCAATTTTGTATGTTTCAATCTAATACATCTATTTTGTATCAGTATTTGTTATTCCTATTTTGGCTTTTAGAAGTATTTTTACCTTCAGTCCAGATGCCTTAATGTATGTGGCTCAAAGAATTACTTTCAGTTCTACAAGACATTTCCCATCCTACTCATTCTATATATTCATTTTTTTTCTGACCAAAAATAGATGGGTACCTGAGAAATGTTATAAATATCTACCCCTCTTTCTTGCTAGTAACAATCTTTCTATTATTATTTTTCTGAATCAGATGGTTTCTCAGAAATATCCAGGAGGTTTTTGAGGCTGCTTATAAGGTTACAGTGGTAACTTTTAGAATTGTCATACATTATTTACCTAATGAAAAGACAATGATGATGCTGTGAATAAGGCAAAAATGATAGATTTAATGATACATGGTACATTAAATGATACAAAAATAATACATGGAGTTTTGCAGGGTGAAAGTAGATAAAAGTATCAACTGGAGAATTTGTGACTATTTTGTCCCATGGTTTTGATTTCCATGACTATGATACAGAACTAGAGTTGCCCTTAAATTTGGAATGTCTTCCATATTCTGCCTCCCCACTCTTGACAACATTTTAAAATAATATCCTTAAGTCATAGCGAAAAAGTTGTTCTATTCTGCAGTTTTTTTTAAGTACATTGAATTGAATGATTTTGCTAGATACTTTTAAAATAAAAACCAATAATATAGCTAATCACAACAGTCCCCTTTTGGGCCGAATTGAATTTCATTTTTGCTTTGAATTCTCATTTGAACTGCTGAGAGAGAACAAACCAGTCACAGAGCAACAATTACCATCTTTCTCTCTGTGTGCACCTATGCAGTCTTTGCAAAAATGTTTAAGACCATCCTGTTTGGACACATCATCAGGTTTTTCTGTAAGGGTAGTTCATCACAAATGGGCCTCTTTTGGGGTTTTTTGTTTGTTTTTTATTTGTCTCTTCTTTGTCTATCCTCCTTTTACATTTTTATTGAATCCATTGGGGTGACATTGCTTAATCAAATTACATAGGTCTCAGGTGTACAAGTCTCTAATAGTCCTCTGCATATTGTACTGTGTATGCACCCCTATGTTCATTGCACCATTGTTTACAATCGCCAAGATTTGGAAGCAGCCCAAGTGCCCATCCGTAGATGAGCAGATAAAAAAGCTGTGCCATATTTACATAATGAATCTCTTTTTGAAAATCTGAAATTTTAGACTGCCATGTTTGTCAGTCCCCTCGCTATGAGACAAGGAAATTGAGTGGGGCCATAATTTAAGGAAACAGCTGGTTGTGGGCGAGGTCTTCTAGGACAATGGTTAAGGTGAAAAATGAGATGTAAAATTAAAAGAAAATGTTGAAACAGGCTCAGCGAGTTCTCAAAATCTTTTTTGGTTTAGCAGAGCTTTAGGTATTGAATGCAGAAGGCTTTGGGGATTATCTAGACCTAATGTGTTAAAAGATCGGGTTGTTAGAGGATTTTGATTCAGGATCTTATGCATTTTTGTGTGTTGAGCAAGACACCCTGAAAACCTCAGAGAGATTTTGGGGGGGATAGAGTGGTCTCTAACTTGCCTTTATGTTTGCTTTTAAGATGGGTGCTCACCCCGACCAACTACCAGACTCTGTTCTTGGTCACGGAACCCTTTGCACTGTGGTTATCAGTATTGATTATCCCTGTATTTGATTTGAGTTCCTATACATATTTTGATAGGGAAAATGAAGTGAAGTGAGTCAACCAAATGCTTAAAACATGGTGCAGAAATTAAGGGTGCTTGGAAACACGTGGCTCAACCACGATAAGGCTTATATGCTTGGATGGGCACGCTGAGAATGTTGGTCCCACTGGTATTTTGGCCTGCGAGAAGGCTTGTGAAACCAGCGATCAAAATCAGCATTGGTACAATAGCTTTTATGCTGAACGTTTCAAATATTCTTGAAACTACCCTTTTCACTTTGAGCCAGGGGTTCTAATGAATAAAGCTCCATAGAGAAATAACCACATCCGATAAGAAAAAAAACAAAAACATTCTATCGTGATTTTCATTCCAAGAAGCCATCCAAAATGTCAGCTAGGTACACTTGTAGCATATTATGATTATTGTAAAATAAGGACAGGTGTCTCTTTATGAATTGGGCTTGAGCTAAAGTTTTTCTTCCTGCCACACATGTTAGCTAGAGACCAGCAAATTGGTTCTAATACTAAATTGCTACACTGCTATTATTAGACGCATGTTTGAGTTTTCTTCCCTCTTATGTATTTTTCTTTCATATATATATATATATATATATATATATATATTTACATTAGTCTATCTACTTAGAGACTGTGTGAAAGACAAATCTGAAAGAAAGCAAATAAAATAGGGACCCTGGCAAATCCTTTGACTATATTCTGCCAGGGTTAGGTGGGGCGGGGTGGTAAATGAAATACATCCAGTTGTGATGCCTCCTAAAGGGGTCCCACGGAAAAGAAAGGGTTTGCTTATAGAAGACATGCATTCTCCTGAGAGCACACACTTCGTGGCCGGCCGGCCGGCCAGCTGAGTCACGTGGTGGGAGGGGGCTCTTTTCTTCTCCGCAAGCCCTCCTCTGATGTCACGAATCTCCTCTCTCCTGGGAGAATTAATTAGCATTCATTGGGCGCAGTTGGCAAGGAGAAGGAAGGGCGCGTAGAGCGTGTGTAGGAGAGCAGGGAGGAAGGGGCCCGGTGGGGAGCGGGTCCTTCCCCCTCCGAGCTGAGCCGCATTGAGATTGGAGGCACAATCGGACAGAGAAAGGCTGTTTTATAACTGGGATCCTCGGTGACGTATGGCTGCCTGCTCCTTGGCAGCTGTCTTTATGGACCAGTAGGCAGAGGGGAATTGACGCTGACGAGACTTTTGCATCTTGGAAGGGACTGTAATCTACTGTAGTGAAGAACAGAACCTCTCAATCACACGAGTGTAAATAAGAGACGGAGGGGAGTCCAAAGAAAAGGAAGAGGAGGGGAAAAGTGTGTGTTGGGGGGAGCGGGGAAAAGCATTTTTGGTGGATGGTATGAAGCCAGCCATGGAAACTGCAGCCGAGGAAAATACTGAACAAAGCCAAGAGAGAAAAGGTACCCAGTGCTGACAATAGCCTGTTTAAAGCTTTTCATTGGGGGTGCTTAAAAAGGGGTAGCCCGGTTTTGTGTCTCTTGTGAAATAGCTCAAAAGTAATCCCTATGGCACGGTCTTGCTTTCAGGGTGTTATTTTTCCTGTAGCCTGATGTTAAATTAATAGAACAGCCTTTCTACAACCCATTCCTGTTCCAAATCTTCCTACAGAACAGGCTATTTCATAGAACGGTGTCCACAGCTTGTCACCTTGAGGAGCTGGATTGGGGGAAACTGTCTCTTTTTTTAATTAATGGAATGTCATCACTTTGATTCTCTGTTCTGCATGTTCTAGTCCAGGGACATGGGACGCATTGTTTGCTGCTCATGCCGAGGAACCGGAGGGGCATGCATGTTAATTACACTTCGGTTCCACTCGTGCTGTAGCAGTTTGGGCATTCTCTCATTTTCTGACTGCATACGATTGCTCTGTCTGTGTATCAGGCCCTGGCTAGGGCATGTCATAGCCATCAAAGTTGGAGCTTGAGGGTGGGGGGGCATCAGCTCTGTTGCCTGTTGCTGATGAAATTGGGTGGGGGGGGGATCTTCTGCTCTTTATGATTTGGAGATTTGGGGGATGAGGGGGGATTGATAAAGGTCTTGTTCCAGAAAGGAAATCTTAGAATATGTCACAATTTTGACATATAGCATGCTTTTTTGTAGAAAGATTTTGTGGTAAGAATGTGGCAGAAAATAGAAGCTAAAATGAATCTTTTCCGAGATCATGACTGATTGCAAGTTTGATGCCCACAGAATCAGCTGGGCTGCTGTTAGGGAAAGGGCATCTCTCAGCATGGTAATGGATCTCCCTCCCCCAAAGGGAGAGACTGTCAGAGAGGAGCAGGACCGGATGCTCTAACCGCACTGGCTCCAATATCAAAAGCCACCGTGCGAAGGAAGCTTATTCTTTCCCACGGCCCTGCATCCATGGACAGTGACTAAACAGTAGTAATTGTCCAGGATGGAGGTTTTACTTATGAATATGTAGGTTGGAGTGTGAAATTGCTGATAGCAAACCATTTTACATGACAAAACAGCAATTTCATGTTTTCAACTTAACAGAGCCCCGGGGTTAAGGCACTGCTTGTTTTTACATGAGATTTCTCCTGTACACAATACTTTAGTAACATGGTATCCTAAACAGAGCAATTTTATTTTTTAAATTAATTATTCTCAACTTATGATAAAATATACATACCTAAAACTTGCCATTTAAACCAGTTAAGTGTATAATAATTCAGTGGCATTAAGTACATAGTCCTTCAATTTTAAATTGGTAGTTTAGTTCAATCCCTGCATCAAACCTACTGCCCTTTCCACCAAATAAAAACAGCCAAAAGCCCCCAAACAACCCTGCCTTTTCTTGTATGTGTATATTTTAAATGTACATGAGCGAGCAAGTAGTGGTAACAGAATTTATGAAGCTGAGGAACTGAGGTGACAGTTTAAAGATTCATTTCCATAATGATCAGAGGCAAAGTTTGGGGATGTAATGAAGCGATATCGCATTGTTGTGAAGTAGCCTACCCCAGTTGATAACAGGTTTTTCCTAAACCAGATGACTGTTTAGTGCACACTTTTTATTAATACGGTGTCTGCCAGTGGCAGATAAAACCATTTTGGTCTCCGTAAACACATACCTTTCGTTTTTCTCTCCAAAAGCAAGCAAGGGGCATAGAACCAATATGAAATCCCTACCACACAATTGTGTTTCCTCATCATTTAGTCTTACAGACCATTATTATTTTATGTCAAAGAAATATTATTTCATATCAAATCCACAGGCTGCCACTACATCCGTTGACCATCCGTATAGGAAGACTCATTAGCGATGCTTTTGGAGACAAAATTAGAAGCCAAAGATAATTCCTGGAGGAACTTAAAAAATGTAACATGGATAAACACTAGCTATCTGTTAAGGATCCCAAAAGTGCCATGTTAACACAAGCTTTGGTCACATATGTAGCACTTGCTGCAGTAGGAACACGGTCCAGGCAGTGTAGTTTCACTGCAGCCTCAGGGGTTAGGATCGCTATGCAAACTGCCTGCCATGCATGTTGGTCTGCAGGGCGGCCTCTGTCCCAATCTCCCTCGTTCAGACTAACAAGTTCATTACCGCACAAGGCAGAACTCACACAGGTATCATCTTCATAGTGGCCTCAGTTCGCTCGCCCATCGTCCTTCGAGGCATAAAACAAGAATAACACATGTTTGTGCGTGTCTGCCATGCCAGTCTTCCTTCAGATTTCACTTTCAATTAAAAAAATATATATTTAGTTCATTGAAATTAACATTTTAAAAATGGACGTAATTAGAGCATTCATTATATAATTTTTGAGCAGATGGAGCTGTTCTTTTTTTTTTCCTTTTAAACCTTTCAGCAAGGGATTGAGTTTACCAAATTTAATCCTATTTATTTTGTCACTTCCCATCGGTTTTTATGCACATGTATTTTTTTTCCGTCTGTTCCTTTCTTTGTTTTTAATAGTTAGCACTACAGGAGATATCTGTCTCGTAATTTGGGGTATTATTGCCTAGTGGCTAGTACCCAGAAACCTCTGGTTTAATGGCTTTGGATAATTATTACAGTGTTTATTAAGAATATAAATTAAATTTTGCATTATAAATCGACCTCAACTTTTCTAGGTGATATCACTTCCCGGGAGTTTTGGCAGGACAAAAAGAGCTGTTTCTTTAAATCAGAATGACTTTGTTCCTATTTTTAAAAAATACTCCAAGTCCCTTAAAAAAGAAAGCAAATGTGTTTTTGAAACAGTTTCCTAGCTTTTGCCACGGAACACTACTGAAGGATCAAAATTTACAGGAAGCATTCAGTAGTTACTCAGGAATTTTTAAGGAAAGCAAGCAGTTTTTCTCAGACAGATGTAAGAAATGCCAAATTATTACAAATGACAGCTTTTAAATTGGAAGCATTAAATTAAATCAAAATGTGAGGACTGAGTAAGCAGATTCACTGAAATGGAATAAGTGGAGGAAATGAATTAGAATCAAATAAAATAGATAATGAGACTTAATAATAAAGAATGGAGTTAGGTGGTTTCTATTTATTTCTGTGGATTATTACTTGATGTCAATTCATTTGTGAAAGTCAGTGCATCTGGAATTGCTGGGAGTACAGAACCATGGGGCAGAAAAACAGTTGAGTCAGTTGCTCTACTGCGTGAAAAAGTCTAAGTATCTGTGAGGAAAATTATTTTTATTCCATGTAGAAAATTGGAATCTACCAAAGCAATTATCATCAGGCTAGTTGAGCTCCTATGACTCATTGCTGAAAGAAATTCCAGAATTCTAGGCACCAAATTAAGTTCCTAACCACATAGGAAGAAAAATATAATAAATTGGAAATAGTGTGTAATTAAAAATAAATTACAGGACTTAGTCAAAGTCAGAAATGAATTCAAATTTTTTACTTGATTAAAAAATTAACACATCCATTTAAACCTTTTAATCAAATACATACAATTTTTTACATGGTTAGGTTTTGTTTTTGGTTTTGGGGTGGTTTTTTTTTTTTTGCAAAATGTGTGTGCTTTGGACCTTCTTTTTTGTTTAGGAAGAAAATCACTGCTCTAGAATATATGACATGTATGTTGAAAACCCAGAGTGACACATTTAACAAGTTACACTATTTCTGGTGATCTTTGAATTATTTGATTTTGAGATTTTTATTGATGTTTTCTAACTTGATGATATGCATATGGTACAGAGGATGTTTTAGATGCAGTTTTTCCCTATAAGGATCTGCCCAGGAGGACATTTGAAGAGAGGGTGTCTGGGGGATAGGCTGTAGCGAAAAGCGTAGCCGGCCAGATGGTGCTGGGCATATGTGGTAGGTATGATACAGCTTGCTTTTCTTTTACTTTTTTTAGACAACTCAAGTGTGGAGAAGATCTCAATGAGCCATTTGGTGGATCTCTTACTTTCATATTATTGTTTCCATTAGCATACTTTTCAAGACTTGGTCTTGCTATTTCATTAGACAAAGAATTCTGACCGAGTTCTAGAAATTTAGATTTTCCTACCTTGAAATTGAGTGGAAATCTTGCATTCAAATTACAACATTAAAAATTGTACTTCTCTGTTATTTGGAAGTAGAGGTCAATGTATGGGTGTCCAACCTTTTGGTGTCCTGGGCTGCACTGGATGAAGAGTTGTCTTGGGCCACACATTAAATACACTAACACTAATGAAAACTGATGAGCAAAAAAAAAAAAAAGGTTTTAAGTAAATTTACAATTTTGTGTTGGGCCACATTCACAGCCATCCCAGGCTGCATGTGGCCTGCGGGCTTCAGGTTGGACAGCCCCACATAATCTTAATAACCCGACTTACTAGCCTTGATGTTTCTGAGAGTATGTGAAATATCCAGCTACCGTCATGACAGATTTCCCCTTACTGGGACTGGTGATGAATTGGATGATTCCAAAGACACTCTCTTGCTTTTTTTCTCCTTGGAACGAAATGTACATCCATGTGGGATGGTTGGCCAGGAACAGGATGGCTGTGGGACAGAGGAAGAAGGTGACACACACTGGCTTTGAAGAGAGGGAGGCTACAGTTCTAGCTCACAAACATATCTCGTTGTTCATTCATTTGTTCACTTATTCACTTAATAGTGTTCTCTTTCGAACCATCATCCTTCCTCTGTCCTCTCAGCTCATGTCATAGGAATAGAAAGATGTTCACTCATTGTAGGGGGCATTATGTGTAGTTTAATCTTGGTTTTGATTAGAATTTTGCTGATAGATAGCAATGAAATAGCAGACAACGATGCCAGAGAGAATTTTGATCCTTAGCCAGCCCAGTGTTATTTCTCTTTAGAGAACCTATAGTAAGAGAAAATAATTTATTTTGTTGGTTGATTTGATTAATTGCATTAACTTCTTTATATATTCCAGCCTGAATAGCCATATGCAAATCAAGGATCAGCACCCCTCACCTGCAAAGGGACAGAGAGTCAATATTTTGGGCTTTGGGAGCAACACAGTCTCTGTTTTAACTATTCGAGCCTACTACCATTGTAGCCATAGAAGGTATCGAAACAACTGGGTGTGGCTGTGTTCCAATGAAACTTTATTCCCAAAAGCAGGTGGCCATCCTTCATGACCTCCACTATAGTCTATAGTGTCCTTAAAGCTTTCCTTTCATGTTTTGAATAATAACTAAACATGAAGGCTGGAAAAGAAGGAAAAATAAATAAACAAAAACAAATGGAGGATGATAGATAGATCTTCCAGAGACCTCGCCCAGTAACTGTGGTCTTCCCAGGCAGCTCAGTCTCTGTCGCTCAGTTGCTCCCAGTGATAACTGCCTACACACTAGAAAGTTTGGCAGTCCGCAGCTCAGCTAGTCAGCCTTGTCACTAAATCACATTAACTAAGGAAAAGGAAAACAAAGTGTACAAGGCATCGTTTTGTTTGGTTTTTCCCTCAATTTCCCAATGTTTCTTTCATACCCACCTGTGGTGATAACTAACCACAGTTTTATCTGCGGCCACCAGCCACCCCCACTCTCCTCAGCCCCAGCCATAAATAGTACCTCAGATGCCGCAGTCTGTTGTGCTTCTGCGAGAATATAGGTGGGTCTCCTGTCCATCTCTCTCTTCTACTCTCTCAGGAGAGCAGTTGCTGTCTTCCCTCTCTAAGGCAGGATCCTGGGTGTGCACGTTTTCCCATTTCTCGCCAGTCACCCAGAATTGACCTATAATATACCATTCAAGCTGAGGCTTCTCCCTGCAATCACGTGACTCCCTTCTCAGTGTTAGGACCCTGTCCTTTAAACAAAATGTATACTGTGTTCTTTGAAATTTTGCAAATAAATTTATGTTTAACGTCTTCATTTAAGTTCGGCTCCAACACATGAAATAGACATGATTTTCTTTCCTTTCATAGTTTAAGATTTACTGTCCTAAAAAGGCCTTCCCAGAAGTATTGGAAAACTTCCATCTACTTCCCGCTCCCATCTCCACATCTGCTGGAGTGGTAGTATTTTTATGCTGAATTCAGCATCTCAGGCATGGCTGCCATGTTGTTCCCAGAAAACACATTAGTGTTGGGCAGTTTGTGGTTTTCATTGTCATTGCCTAGCAGCCTGTGTCTCATTGCTCGAATATATGGAGACTTCCCCATCCTGTGAGGAGGTGAGGACAGGGAATACATAGATCCTGTGCAGAGAGTGTCTGAATTGCCTGGCCCAGGTGAGGTCAGTGTGCAGAGGGACCTGGGGGTCCATTTCTTGGTCCATGAGGGTCGCAGGGAGCTCCTTTACATTCAACCAAATATTTATCCAACACACATTTTGGGGGTACCTACTGTGTGTTGGGCACAGAGAGAGAAATTTTTTTTAAAGGAGGATGACATGTTTCAGATCAAAAGTGATAGAGCTACATGGAATCCTCTTGTTTGAGGTCATATGAAGGGGTCATGGCCACTTTAGCAAGAGGAAATCGGGAATGAGACCAATGGACCTTCCTCTTGTTCTTCCACCAGTCAAATGCCCCAGTGGGCATTTTGACTCCACTTTCTAGGCTCTCAAGTACTGAGTTTAAGATGAGGTAACAGAGAGGACTGCAGATCACAGTCAGAGGACAAAAGTGTCATCCAAGATTCAGCAGATCATGGGCTTCCTTGCCAGATTTTCAAGGCTAGGACTGAGTACCATAATGGAGAGTGAGCCTGTCGTGACCTTTGCTCATGCAGCTGCAATAATCACTATAAATACTGTCTGCTCAATATGAGCATTCAAAGGGGTGGGAGTGGGGGAGATGGATAAAATAAAGAAAGAAAAGATGATTGGGGTGATTTTTGTCAACTGAAATTGAAAAAAAAACGAAGGAACAGATTCCAACACTCTCAATTTATCATGCTGAGTTAATAAGATGGTACTGAAAGATTTCATTCCAATCTCATATTTTTAAACTCCCCCTTTCCTTGAACTATATGGTAAAAGAATAACTAAAAATGCTGATATGGAATCTTTGCTGGAGATAGAGACACTGACTCTTTGCCACCTGAAATTGGCAGTGAACAGCAGAGCTGAAATGGAAATTGGCAGGTACCACTGGATGTACCCAGGCTCAAAGAACCACCAGTACCATCCCGTGCCAACCCTGGGGGACAGGGCTAGCCCCTTGAGCAGTCCAGGTAAATACAGCCTCGGGGTGAATTCTCATAGCAAGTCAACTGTTATCGTTAATATTATTTGTAATGGTTCTTTCAGATTGGTGATATTTTATGTTTTGCTTGATGCCTTCATTTTTCACAGGGGCGTGGGTGGAATTGGCCCTTCAACAATTTTTTAATCATCTTTCTTTTTCTCTCTTCTCCATTCCACCCCATCCTTCGCCTTTTTCTTCTCCCTCCTCCCCCTTCCCTCACCTTCACCTCTTCTTCTCAAAGGGAGGAGTGTACAATGAGCTACACTTTGGGGTTAACCACAAAATTTCCAGTGTCTGAACTGATAATGGCATGGGGGAGGGTATCACCCACGTGCACCTTGGGACCAAGAACTAGGCCAGGACACTTGAGGAGCCTTGGCTCTGAGTACTGTGAGTGTCCCCAAATTTCTTGCTGGCCCCACTGGTTTGCACCACTCTGATGTAACACCAGTCATTGCCTTTGAGACAGGAAAGTCAAGGCTCAGGAAATGGGAACCGGATAACGGGACCCAATCCCATCAGGTAGGTCCATTGGGTCCGTTTCCGGTTTCCTTGCTTGTGAGAACACTGGTCTCTCAGAACTGCTAGTTGCTGGGCCTGAGAGAAATGTGCATTCAGGGGGACATTTACCTGGGGGACTCAGAAGGGGAGAACGCTGAGTAACATGCACAGCCACCCACCACATTCCCAAAGTCTGCATGCACCTTAATATTCAACTCAGTTAAGTACAATTCAATGACCTCAAGTTACCTAAAATGTGACTATAAGGGGATGGTGACAGATCAAATAAGCACAATAGGTTTAAAGTTTTGCTACAGTTTTGCATGAACCCTTAGCATCATTTTTCCCAAATAGTTTCTTACTCTTTCAGGACTACCTCTGAAATGACCATGTAGAATCTACAACTCTAGCAACAACAATCCTGAGGTACAATGAAATACGCCTGTTGAATTACAAATGACAAAAGTCATAACACCTGTAATTGGTTAAATATAACTTTTTAATTTTATTTTGATTTTAAAGCCTAAATTGTAGCTTCAGGTGAATTATCTCACTTGGGATTTAGGTTTACATCTGAAGTTATGCATTCCTCCATTCAACATAGGGCTATGAGATGCCAGCTCTGTGTGTACCTGGACAATGCTAGTTAGAAAAGGCAAGCAAGGAGCAGTATCATACATTTGTGTTCAGAGGTCCTTTAAAGAATGGAGGGTTCTAGAATCTTGATTCTTTTTTAAAAAATTGTCATGAGACATGATATATTCATACGATGGAGGGATCTCTTCAGCAGTTAAAAGGAACAAATGACTGACATACTACAACATGGATGAATCTCGAAAACATTATGCCGAATAAAAGAAGTCAGTCACAAGAAACCAAATATTGCATTTGTATGAAATTTCTAGAACTGACAAATCTTTAGAGATGGAAAGTAGAGGTGTGTTTGCAAGCAGCTGGGGAGTTGGGGGGTAACTGCTAAGGAGTACAAGGGATATTTTTTTGGAATGATGGAAATGTTTTAAAACCAGATAGTGCTGATGGTCACACAACTCTGAAAATTTACTCCAACCCCTTAAACTGTATACTTAAAACAGGTGAATTTTTTATGTAAGCTATCTCATCAAAGCTTTTTTAAAAAGCACTGCCCCCCCGAAAAAAAGCACCATTACATGTGCAGTTCAATAACACAGAATGAGAGACAAGGGCATTTGTTAACAAGAAGGTCTCAGAATTATCACAAGCTACTCTTGACACAATAGTCTTCCTTTTTAAGAATGTGTTAGAAGACACCAGGCTAGTTGGAAATTGAGGAAAAAAAACTAAAATAAGTCTTTCCTGGATTGAGTGAAAAAGAGTAAACATCAATATCTTATTAGGGGAAAGTCCCTTAGCAATTGCTCTTGACGAGTTTTGTCCACCAGTTGAGTGGTTCCCTGGAAGAGCATCAGAAAAATGTGTGCTTTTGACCCTACCACCAAACACTGGAGCACGGGCATTCTAAGCAGCAGCGGCAGCTGAGGAGAAAAACACAAGGCTCCAATTTCTTTTCTGAAAGCTTTGGGGCCAGATTTGTTCCAGAATTCAGGAGTTTGGGTGTTTGAAAAGTAACATGGCACGTACACCGTGTGCTACATGATGTCACCAGCAGGGTCTGGGCGCCCCTGCAAATCCAACACGTCATTCTTTGCGGAGAGCCCACGCTGGGGACAGGAAGCCTGTAAGGCCTGTAAGGGGACAGGCTCTTGTCCGTTCAGGTGGGGTTCTGACACCAAATAAGTTTACATCAGAACAGGTTTTGTTACCAGATGAAATATACCAACAAATAGATAAACGATCTTTAGTTTTTAGACATCTGGAACCATGTGATGAGAAATTGTAGAGCGCTAATAGTACCGGAGTGCTGGTGATATTTCATGTGCGTGTTCCATGGACAAGCTGGTTGTTGTCTGAGGCAGCAGAAACAAAATCACCGAACCTGATTTATAGAATCATCTCCCGAGATCTTGAAAGGATCTCTAAGCTACACGTAGTTTTAACTTTTTCTGTGCAATGACTGAAATCAGGACCATTTGCATCTGGGACCAGCTGCAGAGACCTTGCGGGTAGGACAGTATAAAGAATACAGCACAGGCCCTGGAGTGAGGGGACCAAACTCAGCCACGTTCTCACCTTCCCTGTTGCTTGGAGATTCTGTTGGCTTCTAAATCAATGCACTTGCCATTCTGTACTTAGATTCCAAACCAGATGGTGTGAGAGAAAAAATAGAGAATTCCATATGGCTCTTGTGTCTTTTTTTTTTTTTCCGGGGTTCTCAGTTTCTTTTTAGTGCAGGCAGGGGGAAGAGGTTTTGTGATACAAGCTGACCGGGAGATCTTTTCCAAAGGAAAATGCTTCTCCTGCCTGTCCAGTTATTATGGTCAAGACCACCTCTCCCCAACCCCGCAACGTCCTTATTCCCCACTGGAAAAGTCCACTAGCTCCAGCATGCTTCCCCTTGATCTTTTCATGTTTGACTTTTGTGGTGTAAGTTCCCAGCAGAATTACGTTTTTAGGACTTGGATAGTTAATCTGCCACCATCTGTTGCTTTTTTTTCTTTTTTTTTTTTCAGTTTTAAACTTCTTTACCCGGGTAATACCCACATCTTCCCTAGGCCTACAGGAAATCCAAGGGTGGATGGCCACATGCTGCCCTAGGGGACCAAGCCTGAGATGGTGGTCTGAGATGGTAGCATTAGTGAAAGAAGGAATAGTCAGTGCTACACCTGCGTTCAATGGGCTATTGTGCTTGCCATGGAGGAAATACTTTGAGCTACTGGAGATTGTGTTACACAGGCTTCAGGCTATCGTACAAGAAAATTTAAATCCTCTGTTCCAAGTGTGGCCTGTGGACCAGCAGAATTGGCATCACCTGGTTTCTTATTACAGAGGCAGAGTCTCAGACCCTCCCCCGGACCTGCAGAATCAGAATATGCATTTTAACAAGACTTCCAGATGGTCCTGTACACATTGAAGTTTGAGGACTAATTTAGAGAAAGGTCCAGGAGCAAGGAGAAGACAGGAAAGAATTGAAGTGAATTTACCCTTGAGATCTTGACCCCTCTTTGGTTTTAGAGAAAGAAGAGAGTTGCTGAAGGTATTCATTCTGCTTCCCCTCTCTGCCCATGGACAGGCATGCACGAGAATTGGCAGTCATTAATGCACAGACAGTGACCTTTGTTAGTTGGAAACACAGTGACCTTGCATTCTTTCATCCACTTGTCTGAAAGCATACCTTCTCTCACTCATTTGTTTAAAATCTTGGTGAAGGAGAGGGGGAGGAGCAGTGAAAGTGGGAAAGGTTCATGTCCTTGTGGCAAAGAGAGGGCAAGGAGAAAGCAGTTCATGGGAACTTGGGAGGAATTCTTACGCGTCCCTCATCAGGTTCTTTAATATAGTCCAATGACATGCAAGGTGCTGTTACTTAACGTAGGCTATAAGCTAATGGGCCAAGAATGACTCTTCATACATTTGTAAACCTGTAGTTAAGCATTCACTCTGACAGGTAAGAAGGACAAAAACCAACCCCTTCACCAATCACCAATAACCCTCTTCTACCCATCTCCCAAATCCGAAGTGCTCTGGTGCTAGAAGTCCAGAGAGCCCTCTCATGTACGGGCTACAATGGGGAGTGTGGGGAGAACATGGGGCAATGGTGGCGTCTCACAGGAAGAGAGCTTAGCAGGAAGCCCAACTGTTGGGGTTTCCATTGCCAAGAAGGGATTCCTGAGCAGCCACGGAGGGACAGGGACTTGGAGAGAACAGTAAGAACCTGGAGGGAGGAGTGTGGGAGGGACGGACAAGCAAACGTATCTCGTGTGTTCACTGCTGTGACTCAGGTCACACTCTTGGCTCTGCCTAGGTGTGACCTAAGAAGACAGGCCCCCTGCAACCTCCAGCCTTTATCCCTCTGGCTCAGGCTGGGCCAATCCTGGGACTTCTTTCTCACTGGTCCACTTTATAGAATGACGCCCATGGCCATTAGTCCTGGGAAATGCTGTGGGACTTTGTTAATGTTCTTTAGTGTCATTCCGTCCTAACCTGAGCTTGTAAGGCCAATAGGTTTGAGGTTTTTCCAGAAAACACTTGAAATGTATTTCAAGGGAGAACAATACCTTAATCTTTCTGTGTACATTATGGAGCCTTCATCATGGTTGGGTGTTTTTGTAAATAAAGTTTTATTAGAACCAGCCATGCCCATTCATTTATAGCTTGGATGGCTGCTTTCCTGCTTCAACAATAGAATAGAGCAATTACAACCATACACACTGCAAAGCCAAAACTATTTACTATCTGGCCCTTTACAGAAAAAAATTGCCAAGTCAACCTAGCGCAAATGCATTGTTACAAGATACAGCAAATACGACCTATTTAGGGTAGGGAATACCTAAGACTTTTGCTAGTCACTCAGTTTCCTGAAATCTTGTCCATCCACGAGCCCCCGCCTTC